AATCTCCCAGGTGGGACAAGAAGTCTACATTCACGTGGTCCTTACCTGCCCTATGGCGGACAGTAAAAGCATAGGGCTGCAGCGTCAGGTACCAGCACGTTAGTCTCATATTATTTTTCATTTTGGCTAACCACTGAAGTGCGGCATGGTCAGTGACCAGCATGAACAGGGCCCCAAGGAGGTAGTAACGCAATGTGTCACAGGCCCATTTCACTGCCAGGGCCTCCTTCTCTATCACCGTGTAGTTCCTATCTCGTGGAAACAATTTTCGACTGAGGTATAAGACCAGGTTTCTTCTCCATCTACCTCCTGGGACAGGATGGCCTCAAGTCCTACCTCTGAGGTGTCCATCTGGAGGATGAACTGCCAGTTAAAGTTGGGGCTCGTGTCTTTGAGTGCCTGGAAGGCATCCTCGCACTCTGGGGTGCACACTATACGTCGGGGGCTGTCTTTGGTCAAAAAAGTCAGGTTAAAGGGGCTGCGATAGATGCGAAACCGAGAATAAACCACCGGTAGTAGCCTGCAAGTCCCAGGAACTGGTGCACTTGGTGCTTCGTGGCGGGCAGTGGGCAGGCCGCCAGGGCCTCAACCTTTCCCACAAGGGGTCTCACCTGTCCCCTCCTGATAGTGTATCCCAGGTAGGTGGTCTCTAGCCATCCAATGCGGCATTTTTTGGATTGGCAGTTAATCCTGCTGCCCGCAGGGACCTCAGGACCGCAGCTACCTGTTCCAGGTGGTTCTCCCACTGGCAGCTGTAAATGACGACATCGTCCAGGTATGCGGCACTCACTTTGTGATGTTTCAATGACCCCCAAGGCTAGCATAGCTTGGACTTCCTCCTCAACAACTTGCAGCATGCGGTTTGGCAAGGGCCTGTTCGACTCCTGGATCACCACTCCAGTCTCTGTCCGAATGGTATGGTGAATGAGGGTCGTGTGGCCTGGCTGGGCAGTGAAAGTTCTGGGGAATGCCTGTAGGAGGCACCGGGTCTGCTTACGTTGCTCCTTGGTCAGGGTTTCTCCGAGTTGGGGCACCATGGAGTCCTCGGTCAGGGGTACTCGGGGGCCCAATTTGGGCTCTGGGGGGCATGGGTTAATTAAAAGGCCCTCTTTTCTGGCCAGGGCTTCAGGAGGTTAATATGGTATCGTTGAGTTTTCTTGCGCCAGTCAGGCTGGTTAATCTCATAGGTGACTGGTCCAACCTTTCGGACCACCTCATATGGCCCCTGACAACGGGCCAGTAGTTTTGATTCGCTAGGGGGGCAGTATGAGCAGAACCCAATCGCTGGGTTTGAAATTGCGGACCCGGGTTTCCCGGTTGTATGTTTCAGCCTGAGCTTCCTGAGCCACCTTCAAGTTCTCCCGAGCTAGAGCTCCTCTCTGAGTGAGGTGTTCCTGAAGCTGGAAGACATACTTCAGAAGGCTCTGGGTTGGTGACAGGGCTTGCTCCCATGTCTCCCTCATGGAGGTCCAGTAGCCCCCTTGGGCGACGTCCATACAATAGCTCAAAAGGGGAAAATTTTGTGGAAGATTGGGGTACCTCACAGACGGCCAGAAGCAAAGGCGGGAGCAGCTGATTCCATTGGCATAGGTCCTCTGGGGGAAATTTGCACAGCACTTCTTTGAGGATATGGTTGAACCTCAAAGAAGTGCTGTGCAGGTGGTAGATGGAGGTGCGTAGCTGCTTGATCCCCAGGAGGTTGCAGTCTGTAGGTGAAGTTGGTGCCCTGGTCAGTAAGGGGTTCCCGGGGTAAGCCCACCCGGGCAAAGACCTTCATGAGCTCATCAGTGATGGTTCTGGTGGTGATACTCCGTAGCGGGGCAGCTTCGGGGAAACGGGTGGCATAATCCACGCTGACCAACACATACTGAAACCCAGCCATACTTTTTGGGAGGGGGCCCACCAAGTCCATGGCCGCTCGCTCAAATAGTGTTTCTACAATGGACATGGGAATCATTGGGTCCTTGGGCGTCTGTGCGGGAGCAGCCAGCTGACATTCTGGACAGGAACTACAGTAGTTACTCACCTCCTGGTGCACACCAGGCCAAAAGAACAGTGTCAAAATTCAGGTGATGGTCTTTTCATGGCCCAAGTGCCCTGCAGGCGGGATGTCATGGGTGAGTTTCATTACTGCTCGTCGGTGACATCGAGGCACAAGCAGTTGGGTCTGGACGTCTCCAGTGCGGGGATCTCGTTCCACCTGATAGAGACGGTCATGACGTAACTCGAAAAGGGGCCACACCTTTGCCCGGCACAGATCGATCATGGGCCCATCAATGACTGCAGGCTGCTCATATGCTCGACTAAAGGTAGGGTCCTCCCTTTGGTCCCGGCAGAAGTCGGTGCTAACCCTAGGTTTGATGGCGGGGGGTCCTCGGGCTCTCCTCTCTGTCTATTGGGGTCCCTTTCCTCCCCCTCCTCTCCATGGGTGCCAAAGCAGCCTCCTTCTAGTGCTGGGGTGATCTCGGGGCCTTCCTTGGCATTTGAATGAAGGACCCCTGAGAACTCTGGCCAATCACATCCCAGGATCACAGGACAGGCTAGTTGTGGAACCAGGCCAACCACCACCAGCCGTGTGACCCCATCCACTGTTAGCTGGACTTGGGCACTGGTGTAGGGCCGTACATCACCCTGGATACACTGCAACCGGATGGTCTCCAGGTGGGGGTTTGCCGGGAGGCCTAAACTTTGGTGGATTAGGGTCTGGCTGCAGCCTGAGTCAATCAGGGCCAGGGTTGGGAAATCCCCAACAACTACTGGCACTGTAATCTTGGTGGTCTGTGGCCGTTGGGCGTGGTTTTCCCTTACGCAAACGTGACCGAACTGCAGTTCCTCTCGGTGCAATCCTGTTGCAAGTGGCCATATTTCCTACAGGCGAAACAGGGTCTGAGCTCCGGTTGTCCGGGCCGGGCGGATGCTCCCCCAGGGCCCCTTGGGGGGCTTCAACTGGTTTTTCCGACCCCTGTCTCAGGATCATGAGGAGCTTGTTGAACCGGCCCCTTGGGATGTCTATACTGGGGCTCCTGGCCCTGCAAAGGGTTTTGCAGCTTGATCCGAGCACTCCCCTTCATCTCTAGGTTAGGGCGCTTGGGTCCTGGTGGGTGGGCTCAAATAGCCGGTCCCACTGGGGCTTCAGCTGCAAGGAAATCTTCCATTAGAGCGATGGCGGCTGCTAGCATCGCAGGCCGATGGCGGAGGACCCAGGCCCCTCCTCGCGGCGGGAGGATGTGGATGAACTGTTCCAGGATGACTTGCTCAGTGAGCTCACCTGGGGTTTGCCTCTCGGGCTGTAGCCACCGCTTGCACAGCTCCCTCAGCTCCTGGGCCACCAACTGGGGTCAGGCGCCTGTGGGGTAGGTCAGACTCCTGAACCGCTGCTGGAAGGTTTCTGGGTTGACATTTAAGGCCTCTAGAATCGCTGCCTTTACCTGGGTATATCCTCCATGGATAGCCCCTGGTACACACTTTGGGCAGTCCCGGTAAGATATGGGGCCAGGAGGGTGGCCCACTGGTCGGGTGCCCACCCTACAATCTGCACCAACCTTTCAAAAGTCACCAAAAAGGCTTCGGGGTCATCCTCTGGACCCATTTTGGTTAGCCGCACAGGCGCAGTGGGGCAGGGTGACCCGGCCACGTCTCCCGGCTGGGGCTCTGGGGGGCACGGCAGTGCCGTCGTTAGCTGCTGTATGCATTGTCGCTGGAACTCCTGGTTCTGAACACCCAGGTCTCGAATCAGCTGCTGCTACTGGGTCCCCAGCTGCTGGATGAGCTGCTGTTGCTGCTGGAGCTGGGCTGCCTGCTGGAGATCCTGGCTCTCCGCCAGGAGCTTAAAAAGTTTGGACATATCCATGACTCCTTTGGGGGAACATTCCCCCCCCAGACCCCTTCTCACAGTGGTCAAGGGCTCATGCCTGCATTCTCCACCAACTGTAAGGGGACTCGGCCCCCTGTGGTGTGGTGGGGCACCACACCGCCTCGCTACACACTCTCGGCTGGGTTGGAGAATACTCAGTCTATGGCCCAGACCTTCAGGCAGGAACTGTGCAAAGTAGTTCTGGGTAAGCGCAGGCCCTGGGTCAGAGCAGGGCAGCAAACAAATTTCTCATAGAGGCAATTCATCTTATGACACATCTGCTGCTGTAGATCCTTATTCAGCCTATTAAAAAAAAAAAAAGTAAATCTTGGGTTACATCCCTTTTCCTTTTCTGTACTTTTGTCCCCTGTGAGCAATTTTGGCCAGGCACCTGAATTCTTACATACCTATGAAGTACATAGCACATTTTTGGCTAACATAAAAATCTTAGACATCATCCAGAATTCAAGTGAGTTGTAATACTGGCCAACCCAAGATTCTAAAAATATGTGAGTGAAGTGAACATGTTATTAACACCCTGAAAAGCACCCAGCAGACTTTCAGCTTGCTCCTGCTCCCATGGAAGCTGATGGCATGACTCCCATTGACTTTTCATGGGAGATGGATCTAACTCTTTATGAACAAATAATATGTCCTGAAGCACTGAATTGGCATTCCCAGGCACTGCTTCATTGTGACAGATAGTGGATCTGGTAGGCTCAAGTTAAACAGCTAGGACAGTAACATTATAACAACTTCAAGATCATATCAATATCTCCATAGTAGATACATTTTAATCTTAACTTTGCTTATATGCAGGTGTAAAGGTGTCGGAGGTCCCTGCACAGCCCCTTGCAGCCCAGCAGGGGTACTGTGGGTGTGTTCTGCATTGATTCCCCCTGCTTGGGAGCAACAAGTTCACTTTAGCAGCCCAAGGCAAGGAGAAGCAAACACACGCTAACAAAACAACATGTCCTTTAACACAGCTTCAGGATAGGAGAATTCAAATGAAGAGCTCATAAGGTCCTCACCTCAGAACCTTAGTTCAGCTCCCAAACTTAAAATCCCCAAATAAAACCTCTGGTTAGGCTGGTCTCCTAGAGCCTGATAGAAAACCTCCAACATTACAGTCTACATACCTTTTACTTCCCTTGTCTTTAGCTTCCTCTTTGCGTTTATATATCCCAGCTGTAGGGTGGGGCAGGGTCTCTTTGATTACACCCCAGGCAGTCCTAGTTGTAGGCTCCAGCCTGTCTGTAAAAGAGGTAGTATACTCCTTTGGAGCAGGTGAAGCAAAAAATTGGTTGGGTAACGTCTTCCTGTCCCAACTCATCCACTTGGCAAGAATACAGCTTTTTTGAAAGGTTCCCTCTTTTTTTAAAATGACACTGAGAAGCTTGTCAGCAGTGCAAGTTTGTGGGAAGTCGGTTCCTCTTTTCTTTCTCAGAGCTTGGGTGAAATGGACATTTGAAGTTTCTGTAAATGCTTTCTCTGAACTGGTGAGTACTGCCACTGTACTGTAAGTTGGAAGATTTTACTGTTTCTTCACCAGACACACTGCAAAACTTTGATGAAGTAATATTCTACTAGTGATTATTGGCAGAAAAAAGATTCTATATGAACAGATTGGTGGTGCATCCCTTTATTTAAATACTTCTTGTAGTTGACTATTCTTTTAAAGTAACTCACACTGAATTTAGGAAATGTTAATTACAAATATTAGAAATAATAAATAGTAATAGTTTGCATTTATAGAACATTTTAACTAAAGACCTCAAACTAATTTGAAAAAAAATTAATTAAGTTTCATATCATCCCAGTGAAGTAGATTTATTAACACTGAACAATGACTTCCCTTTATACTCTACATACAGGGTTCTGTACCTGTTTGTTTTCCTACATAATATTTTTCATCTATTTTCTTTTCCCAAGCCAAATAATCTTCACATGAGAACTTTTATTTTAATGAAGAGTTAAACTGACATCTTTGTGGTTTTAGGAGACCTCTTTGCATGCTTTCTACAGTGTGTTGCCATCAGATTTTTTTATATTATTAAAATGTGCCTACACTAACTGATAATTCATTCAAATCAGGGCTCTCATTCATGACAGAAACTTGTGGCATTTGTTGAAAAGCAGATGGTGCTGCAAGGTTCCCTGGGACAGTGATGCATAGCTACAAAACGATTTTACATGTTTTTTGCAAACCAGATCATTTTTCCCTTTCAGGGTGGCTTCTGCCATAGTTTCTAGGCATCCAGGCACTTGCTTGAATGCAGGCTCCATTCACAGTGCAAGGACTGAGGAAGGTAAATACAGAAGGGTGTCTACTTCGCTTAAGAATGTACATGAGTATGGCTACCCAATTTAGTCAATGCTGGCCAGCTGCCCAGATCTGCACCCCCCACCTCTATTAACCTATTAATGTATGCTAATGTATTAACATATGAAGGACATCAGAAAACTTCCCTCTAAGGGTAAGCCTTTACCACAGAGTTAAGTCAGGCAGTTGGGCCCCCAGCTCTGAGCTCCTGTGTTAGCCTAACTCAAGTGTAAGCAGCCACACCGCAAAGCCACACTCGAGTTACTGTATTCTCACTGGTGCTGCACTCATCCGTATGTGTGTCACTAGGACTTCTGGAAGTTCTGGGTGGCCTATCCTATGGTTCTTTGTGCTGCAATAAGCTGAGACATCCCATGATTCTTTACTATTGAATTGTGGGAGAATTTGTCTGTCCTTCTGGGCACATAGAGGGAATTATGAGAAATGATTTAGCCTGTGTCCAACCTACAAACTGGGCAGCTTACTACCCAAGTGAAAATAGCACCCAACCTCTAGCCTATACTCCCAGCTAAGGCAGGTTTAAAGCACCACTGAACTTGGGTGAGAGGGTTTTGTGCATGGACAGGAGTGGAGTTGGGGCAACGCTGGAGTAACAAGGTTACTGTTGTGTGTTACAGTGTGAATTAACTCTGCTCTGAAGGTGTAGGCTAAAAGTCAAGACAAACTATAGCAGAATGTGAGGATTGGCAACATTGTTTAAGCACCAGCTCCTCCTGGGCCTTGTGACTTACATTTGCCTGATTCACAGCCAGCCTGAATGTGCCTACATCAGATTTGCTGGGCTTTTGCTCGGTTTTGAAACGTCAAAAGGTCTTTATGCACAGTGATGGCAAGGGAAACAGTCTTAGCTGCTGCAGTTCAGAACATAATTTGTATAAACCCCACAAAGGCAGTAGCAGATTAGAAGGTTCAGGAGTTTCCATATCTCCTTAGGCCACCAGCCCTGTATGTTATGTCAGCAGATTGGGCTGGCCAGGGTTAGCAGCCTAGACCAGTGGAGGCCCTGGTGTGGGGATCTCTACAAAGCAGCCCCACATATGACACCCATCTTTTTATAGATGTAGGTTCTACACACTCCTAGCTACACCATACATGCTCATCCTCCTCATGTGTCCCCTGTAACGAAGTGATGACTCACTGGTGCGGCACCTCCTGCTGGTCATCCTGGGAATTAGCTCTCCAACCTCAGGAGCGCCCTCCACAGGCTGGTGCCTCACCTGCCACTGGCCCCTGTATCTCTCCCGGACCCCAGTGCCCCCCTATGTCAGGGTTCTGCCCCGAGCAGTAACCCACAATCTGGGTCTCCCTACCCAGGGGAACCCCCAACCCTCTATCCCCACCTTGCCTCAGTGGCTCCCAGGGCTGTTTTAACCCCTTCAAGGCCAGAGTGGGGTGACTGTCCGGCTATACCCCCAAATAAACACTGAAAATTTGGCTTTAACTGATTTATCCAAAGTCCTCAGTTGCAGATCCAGGAATGTAACCCAGGTCTTCAGTACAGTGTCCATTTTAGGAATCTTCCTTCATCAGTCCATAGGTTGCAGGCCCGAGGACTGACAACTGACATCTGTGGACTGTCCAAAAATGGACACTATCCTCTTGATTCTCATTACCTGCTCTATCCACTGGACTATGCTACCTTCTTTTCAGAGACAATACTATCATTAACTACATGGAAGTTTTCCCAGCTTAATGAGGGCAAAACCAGATAGTTATACTGTGGGTACAATTAAAATAGATTTCTAATCTTATAGACTGTACTGATTTGAGAGCAATTTCCTTTACAGAAAATGGAGAATACTGAAGAGCCTGAATTTTTTTTTCAGCCAATTAGAAACTTCTTTTATAGACTCATTGTACTTGGAAAAAATACATCACATCTTTAAGAGAAAGACTTTGATATACACTCAATTAATATTAGGATTAGATTAAGGTACTTTATATGCAAAGCCTACATTTGCTGAACAATTACATTAATTTATAAAGTTATTAGATATAATGAAACTGACTGTCTTTTTTTAAATGAATCAGAATTGCCTATACACTTAAACTTCACATCTAATTCTGTGTTTACAGAAAATTAGGTACATTAAGGGTCAAATATACTTGTTGCCTACAAACTTGACAATTTTAATGCTGCACATGAATGACAAATCTCTCCAGTCAAAGGGGTTATTTTCAACGAAATAACATGGAAAATCTTGTGTATGCCAACTCCTCAAGGTTTTTCTCAGAGAATATGTATTTGGAGTTTATTACTGTACTCCCTGTGCTTAGTTTACTAGGGTAATTATATAATACACTACCCAAAACACTGTTCATGCAGATTTTAGAGAAAAGTGACAAAGAAGGAATGATGCATTTTTTAGGCTTACCAATTTCCTAAAAATGTTTCAGGCAATAATTACAACAGCTCCCAGTGGAGGAGATGCTACAGTACAATAGTTTTGTTGCCAAAATTTACACATGTAGTGTGAAGTGTTTAATAGAACTCACTTTCTCACCCACAAATCCCTTGGTAGGTCAGAACCTAGATTTGTTAAAGAAATGTTGCAATGTCACCCCTTATCCTATGTTCTTGGGAAAGAGGTGGGTGGATGGCAGTAGAATTGGAGCTGGGTAAGTTTTGGGGATTAATAGTTTATTTTCTGAAAAATGCATTTTTTTTGGATGAACAAAACTATTTTTGAATTTGGGTTGACTTTGGCAAATAGTTTCAGCCAAATAAAAAAGAAAAAACGGATTCTTAAAGTCAAAACATTTCCTTTCAACATTTTCTAAACAAAATCTTGACTTTTTGTTTCAAAAAGTCATTGTTTCAAAAGTTAACTATATTTAACAGCAACAAAAACCCATACAAGAAAACCCCTAAACATCTCAAGTTTTGGTTTGATCAGAATTGACTCCCTCTTGCCCCCTGGAAGAATTGTTGTAGGCTGACCCTAAACAATTTAATTTTTTTTGTTCCATCACTGAACCCGAATATCAGTTATTTGCCTACCCTGAAGTGGAATTGCTAATGGCTATTTTTCTTAAGGGCTTTTATTTTAATAGTTTTTGCCTGGCCAATCTATTCATTTTGTTGAGGTCAATCATTGCATAAGGAGGTTTTAATTTTGGCATGAAATTGTTGTACGAGATATCCATAGTGGCGTATGGGTACTCAACTACTCAAAATAAAGGCCAGATTGCAACTGGCCCTTTCAAATATCAATAGAATGAAGGGGCCAGCTGTCCTCTCCCAGTTCCCTGGTTGGCAAAGGGACGTGTCAAGAAATCCCACCCTTACTTGGAGGAGAGGCTGCATGGGGTGCTGGACATGGAATGTACTGCCCTTGTAGGGACACAGCAGTCCAAGAGTTTCAGCTCAGCCCCAGGTGTTGCCTGTCTGCCTGGCCCTTATGAACTTGCATGGCATGCTATAATCAGCCAAAGGGGAGAAAGTGCTCAGACTGGTGACTAAAGGACTCCTGGTGGGAGGCACTTAGGTTGTTTGTTTGCTGATGAAGGTGATTATTTCTGGGGCTTTCCTACCTCTCCAAAGGCTGTAGGAGGCTTCTGAACCCCAAGGCAAGAGGTGGGAATTTGAAACTAAGTTCCAGAGAGGGGCAGGAAGAAGACTGGGCTGTGTCCCCACCCCATCTCCACACTAGCCCTCAGAGCAAGCAGGCTGCTCATCTTTAGTATACAGGCCTATTTCTAAACAACAAATGAGTTTAATAAGAACTCACTAGACTGGAACATGGAGAGAAACCTCTCCAAGCTAGGACCATTAAGTCACCTGATCAAACTTTTAGTCCAAGGGCATGAGGCTCTCTTTCTAGCAGCTTTCTAGAAGCTGAAGCCTTTCACAAATGAACCTTTTGATGAGTTGTGATGGGTTTTCCCCCAAGGTGCAGCCTGGACTGTGGGACTGTTCGTAGTCCTCTGTCCTATCAACCTGGGCTGCCTCTCACCCTGTGATGCTGTTGGCAAGCTACAAATCTCTGGCACGTATTGCACTTACACAGACATCCAGAGGCAGAGACACACGCAACTGAGTTACATTTATGCTTCTCCCACTCATGAACTAATAATAGAGAGGCTCCAGCCAATTCCCCTCCAGCTCCCCAGCCGTGCACTCTAGAACTGTACCATCATGCCCTGGTCAGAAGCCTGACCAATGTTCATTACCCAGCCTGCTCCTTCCTCGATGTGGAGAGGACACACACTAGTCTTTGTAAACTGAGCTGAGATGTCCCAAGAACTTCACCTAAAACTCATTTTTTTAGGTAAAGTATAAAACAGATTTATCAACTATAGAAAGATTGATTTCTATGCCTGCTACTTAAAATCTAAGTTGGTTACCTAAGAGACAAAAATAAATTTGCAGTCTGGGTTCTATAAACTAAAGAGGATTTGCATCAAGCAGTGTCTTACCCTGACAGATGGTATAGTTCCTCAATATACAGGCTAAGACTCCTTTCCAGCTTGGGACCACACTGCCCAGTTCAAAGTCTTTGTCCTCCAGACGTTTCTTCCAGGTATTGAGTTGTGCAGGGAGTGAGGCCCAGTCATGATGTCACTTCCCCTCTCAGAGTTTCTTCCAGCTTGCTGGAAAGATCTATGCATCTGACATTGGGGTCCACCCCCATTGGTCAAGCATTCGCCACTGTCTACATACTGTCTCTGAGAAGTCTTCTGGGATGGCTGTTGGGAAAGTAGATTCCCTTTAGTGGGCCATCAGCATGTCTGGCTACTCCAGTGTTGTACCTGAAAGACTGATTGTGGGTGTTCCCCAACCTCACAACACAGCACACACATGGCAAAATTTCATAACTTCACATACAATCATAGTGCATACAATCCAATAGGATATTGATATTTAACAGAGCAAGACTTTTAAAATGATACCTCGCGAGGCATCATTACAAAACATATAATTATATGACAGTGGTGAATATGTGGGTTCCAGGGTGCTGCTTTGAGGTACAGAGTGTCACATGGTTATCATACATAAAATACAGGGCCATGTGAATTTCATTACTGTGATTATCTGCTGTATGTTCATGGGCTACTCAATACATAAAATATTTTTGCTAGAAGTTTGGATAGCAGCATTTCCATCTCGGAAATGGCACCAGTTAAAAGTGAATTAAACACTGTCAGTGAAGAATGATACACTCTTCACATTTTTACAAGTTAAATTCATACAGTAACATACTGACCTGTCTGCAACACAAACACACACACAAGATTTCTTTTGTAAATGTAGATAATGTTTCTGAATCCTGTCCGGGGGATAAGAGCATTATCAGTTGCTTTTTCCCCCTCATAGAATGCTTGTCAATAAAAATGGTTACAACTAGTGACAATATTAATATGAGTAAGGGAGACTAGACTACCCTTTATGATTAATTTTCCCTTGAAAAGAAAGGGTCTGTCATATTTTTCTGCAAAACCTAAATTCTTTCTTCACCAAGTGTGTACTGATTTTTTTGGGAAGTTTGATTTTCAAGAAGTAGAAAGTCCTGCAGTGTGGATGATTTACCTTCCCACTGATGTATCAATTATCCAAAAAGATTATACTTACTACTACGTACTGGTCACCAGCTGTTCCTAGATGTACATGATATGGATATCACAGCATTACAGGATTACTTTAAGGAAACTGACTAAAAAAAATATTTGTGCTCTTAACATGGATGCCTGTCTTGGAGGGGCCATGCATTTCAACTCCACCCACCATGACTCCTGACCTTTCAATTTGTTTTCAGTTGGTTCTTGCACAAGATGAAGAAATAAGTCTTGCAACACTCTCTCTCTAGTATAGTGGTTAAAACCCAGAATACTTTATTAAAGCTCCTAAATCATTGTCCCTTTTACACAATCAATCCTATGGGTAAAGCAAAGAGCTGCTTCTAGGAAATAGTCAGTGTTGCTGACTTGTTGAACTGAGGGTGGCATAACAATGCAAAGAAAAGGCTTTTTCTAAGGGCAGTCAGCATTTATTAGTTGCAAACTTCTAATTTGAGCCTTTTCAAAGCTAACAGAAGACGTCTGAGAAAAGGAAGAAAATGTTCTTTAGGACTCTGTTTCCCTGGATTTTCTGTTTTACATCCTGTACTGTGTAATGATAAATTCTGATTTATATTGCAATGGCTTATGGTGTATGGCAAGATACTGTGATGTCCTGATGTGGTTTTGGGAACATATTTTAAAAATACCAGTAATGAAAGAAGGCTCCAGTTTTAGGCAGAATCATTTTTATAAAATGTGAACTTAAAATTAGTGTTAATAAACTTCATGAAACAAATGTTTACAATGATTAACAGTAGTGAAATAACATGTCCATTCTGCAAGTAATTAGTGATGCTGGTAATTTTCAGTAATTAAATACTAATGAATTAATTTACTGAGCAATATATTTACTGGAATTAAGTGTATTTATATTTTATTATTTAGTAATTTATTATACTATATGACTTGTATAATGTCATAGGTATGCATGGCCCTTTATAAAAGTCACGGTCATGAAAAAAGCATCATGCACTGTGAAATCTGGTCTCCCCCCTGTGAAAGCTGGTCTTTTTTGTGCTTTTACTCTATACTATACAGGCTTCACAAGGGAGACCAAAAGGGGAGTTGCAGGGGGGGTCACAAGGTTATTTTAAGGGGGTCACAGTATTGCCACCCTTACTTCTGAGCTGCCTTCAGAGCTGGGCACTGGAGAGAGGTGGCTGTTAGCCAGGCACCCAGTTGTGAAGGCAGCTCCCCACCGGCAGCAGTGCAGAAGTAAGGGTGGCAATACCATACCACTCCACCCTTACTTCTGCGCTGCTGCCTTCAGAGGTGGGCAGCCAGAGAGTGGTGGCTGCTGATTGAGGACCTAGCCCTGCAGGCAGCAGCGCAGAAGTAAGGGTGGCTGCACGATACCATGCTTTTGCACTGCTTCTGGCAGTGGCTCTGCCTTCAGAGCTGGGCTCCCTGCCAACAGCAGCCACCGCTCTCCAGCTGCCCAGGTCTGAAGGCAGAGCTGCTGCTAGCAACAGCACAGATGTGAGGGTAGCAGTACCACAACCCCCCTCCCCAATAACCTTGCGACCCCACCCTCCCCCCACTCCTTTTTGGGTCAGGACTCCTACAGTTTCAACACCGTGAAATTTCAGATTTAAATAGCTGAAATAATGAAATTTAAATCCTACGACCATGAAATTGACCAAAATGGACCATGAATTTGAAAGGGCCCTAATAGGTCAACCATGCCCAGAAATGGATGCAATTCATCCTTTCACTGTTTGTAACACACTGATGGCATCTCTAGGTAACTCACAATTTGTTAGGTAGTGAAAATCTGCCAAACAATTTCCCATTTTTAAAATTAATGGTATGTAGATACAGGCAAATAGTTGGTAACAGTAAGCAAAAACTAAATATTGGCTAGTGGATCCCAGCTCACACAATTTCTGTTACAAATCTGTAGGGAGATTAATCTTTTGAGAAGATGTATCTGGAGAAAATATATAAAAAGTAGCACTGATTTTTACTTGTGGCACCTTAGAGACTAACCACTTTATTTGAGCATAAGCTTTCGTGAGCTACAGCTCACTTCATTGGATGCATACTGTGGAAATTACAGAAGATCTTTTTATACACACAAAGCATGAAAAAATGGGTGTTTACCACTACAAAAGGTTTTCTCTCCCCCCACCCCACTCTCCTGTTGGTAATAGCTTATCTAAAGTGATCACTCTCCTTACAATGTGTATGATAATCAAGGTGGGCCATTTCCAGCATCATACACATTGTAAGGAGAGTGGTCACTTTAGATAAGTTATTACCAGCAGGAGAGTGGGGTGAGGGGAGAGAGAATCTTTTGTAGTGGTAAACACCCATTTTTTCATGCTTTGTGTGTATAAAAAGATCTTCTATACTTTCCACAGTATGCATCCGATGAAGTGAGCTGTAGCTCATGAAAGCTTATGCTCAAATAAATTGGTTAGTCTCTAAGGTGCCACAAGTACTCCTTTTCTTTTTGCGAATACAGACTAACATGGCTGTTACTCTGAAACCTGATTTTTACTTGTGACTTTAAAAAGACCATGCTGAACTGGTGACATGGGACTACTAGACCTATACATCTTTTATCTGGCTTTACTCTTCATCCTATTATGCAATGAATCCACCTCTCTGGCTCTGTGCCTTGGCTTGGTTTAATATTTAAACAAATTTTGCACCTTCCTTTTGTTAATTTAATACCTTCCCCTGCTTACTTCTCTCCCTACTCCATTATGAAAGATACCAGTTTTGGATTCCATGTAGAGTGCCTTTCAAGGGATGAAGGCCCTTACTAGCACTGATTTACTCATCACCTCCATCCATGCAGTTATAGGGAAAGCAACACTTTCAAACTAAAGGTAAAATATCATGGGTCAAATTTGCTGAATGCAATGGAGTCACATCAGTTTGCACCAGATGAGAGTTCTTCCATACATGTTTATATTTCTGAAGAAGAGTGTACTAAAAGTCAAGGACGTACAAACTCGGTGACTCTTTTCCTTCATTCAAAACACATACAGGTTACTATACTCATGTGGGCCCCTTTTGTCAACAATTACATGAACTGATTCACAAACAAATGGCTGTGACGTGGTTGTCTAAAAAGAAATCACTTACCCTATGTGCTGTTAATCTCGATATTTATAATACTGTGATATTTGCCTTTATACTGGTATTTACAATATTCCCCCTTCTTGTAAAACAGGGCTACTGCTGGCAAGGTTCCTTCCCCACTCTGAACTCTAGGGTACAGATGTGGGGACCTGCATGAAAGACCCCCTAAGCTTATTCTTGCCAGCTTAGGTTAAAACTTCCCCAAGGTACAAACTTTTACCTTTTGTCCTTGGACCTTATGCTGCTACCACCAAGCGTGTTAAAACAAAGAACAGGGAAAGAGACCACTTGGAGATGTCTTCCCCCCAAAATATCCCCCCCCCCCAAGCCCTACACCCCCTCTCCTGGGGAAGGCTTGATAAAACTCCTCACTAATTTGCCTAGGTGAACACAGACCCAAACCCTTGGATCTTCAGGACAATGAAAAAGCAATCAGGTTCTTAAAAGAAGAATTTTAATTAAAGAATCACCTCTGTAATCAGGATGGTAATACCTTACAGGGTAGTTAGATTCAAAACAGAGATTCGCTCTAGGCAAAACCTTAAGTTACAAAGAGAAACAGGAATATACATTCCATTCAGCACAGCTATTTTACCAGCCATTTAAACAAAACAGAAATCTAACACATATCTAGCTAGATTACTTACTAAGTTCTAAGACTCCCTTCCTTTTCTGTTCCCAGCAAAAGCATCACACAGACAGACAGACCCTTTGTCCCATCCCCCCCAGCTTTGAAAGTAACTTGCCTCCTCATTGGTCATTTTGGTCAGGTGCCAGCGAGGTTATCCTAGCTTCTTAACCCTTTACAGGTGAAAGGGTTTTGCCTCTGGCCAGGAGGGATTTTATAGTTCTGTATACAGAAAGGTGGTTACCCCTCCCTTTATATTTATGACAACTGCAGATATAATGGTCAATTTTTTTTTTTACTGTGAGATGTAAACAAAGCATAAACTCTCAGTTGGTATAAACTGGCATACAATGCTGATTTACTCCAATTGTGTATCTGGCCCGCAGATTTTAAGTTTCCCTTTTGCATAAAAGAGAATTTTAGTAATAAGAACACTGCTTCTATGGTGACTTCTCTCTGTTCTTCTCATCTGTTCATTTACACAACCATTAATGCATTAAAGACTCAACAGTCCTGTGAGGTAGGTAAGTAGCATTATGCCTCATTTACGTGTAGGCAAATCAAGGCAGATGGGGGTTAATTGACATGCCCAAGCTCACAGAGGAGGTCTGTAACAGAGTCAATAATAGAAGCCAGGGCTTTGGTACTCAGTTTTGTACTTTAACTGTAAATCTATCCTCCCTCTCTGGAGAATGTGCAATACAGTACAGTATCCCGTTAATGTTGCCTTAAAGAAAAATGGGGAAAAGAATGGCACATATCCCTACAGAAAGGGAAACAGAAAATCATGAATGCCTCTTGCTCTTTATTCCAGAGATTTTTGCCAATGTAAAACACTCAACTTACCAGATCTCAAAACATTTATTTAGAGCAGGTAAAACAGACCCAGTAAATGCTGGGAGGGTAGTCAACATGATGCTAGCATGTCACATATTTTTACTTTTGTCACATATATTATAATTATTGGTGGAATACCTTCCAGATTCCTGAATAATCAGAAAACCCCATCACCACATATGTTTATTAGGAGCACTTGATGAGCTCACACTGTCCAACAATGATTAAAAACAAACAGTTGGCAATTTATTTTAGGTTGCCCCAAAGGATTATATTTAGGAGTGGGCCTCATACCTCTTATGCAGACAACGTGATTGAATTGTTTACTACAGCTCTGAAAAGCCAACCTTGTTTAGAAGGAACAATTGATAGTAATATGACAAGATCTGAGAACATAAGAAGCTACTTAGTCCAGGTCCTAACCCTCAAATATTTTGGGGGCAGATAATCAGCTGGTGTACACAGATATAGTTCTATTGATTTCTATGGAGTTACACAGGTGTATGCTGGGGTAGGGATTTGAACTATAATGTTTTGTTTTTAATCTCTGAAGAGATCTGTTCAAAAGACAGTCTTTTTATTATGTATGCTTTTGTATTTATCCTGAATGGATTTTATACCCACATTAATTAGTAGGCTTCATCTACCATTTTCTGTATATGTACTGTTTATTTGCACACCAATGAAAATGAAGCTAAAATGACTAAGTAAGTGCTTTATTTGTGTGTGGGTTTGTTTCCTTTTTCCATTGTTACAGATAATTCATGGGTAGAATTACTAGTAAAGGGAAGGGTATAATTCTCCCCTCTACTGCGGTTAGATGTGAATAGGTGATATTTCAGATACAGAACATTTCTATGGCCAATCCAGATTCTCTGCTTTGCTAAATTCACACATGGTGAAACATATTAGGAGAGCTATCAGAAAGCTAATTCTCTGGCCAGTCCCCAACACTAGCACAGTTTACTGGAGGGTCCAATAAGGACTGATTAGCAGTGAGCATAGCCAGAGTGCAGCAAACCCTCTTCTCCAGTCTTGACATGAACCCTGCATTAGGGGGTATGAGGAGAGTGGTATAGGAAAGGCTACACTAGTTTTATGCCCACTGGAGACTTCCTTATTCCAGGGATGAATCCCCAGTTAGATGGATGCAACCAGTCTGGGCTGTGCAAAGGGAGCAAAGTAGGACAGGAAATCCGCTCTTAATGTTAACAGCTTTCTATCCCGTCCCAAGGGAAACCAATCACAATCATATTAATACTGAGCATTTTAAAACTTCATTTGCTTTGCAAATATTAGCTCATTAATTCTTAAAACACTCGTGGGGTAAATTATTATCCTATTTTATAGAAGAAATATAGACAAGGATATTGAGGCATAGATACTGCTAATTTACTTTGTGTCAAGTAGTACAAAAGATTAGACTTGAAATTAGATGAAGGTTTCTAACCATCAGAGGAGTGAAGTTCTGGAAAAGCCTTCATAGGGGAGTAGTAGGCATTAAAAAAACCTAACTTGTTTTAAGATTGAGCTTGATTTTATGGAGGGGCTGGTATGATGAGAATGCCTACAATCGCATATGGCCTAACAGCCAAAATCTCCAACAGCCAGAGAAGGGACATTAGATGGGAAGGGTGCTGAGTTACTACAGAGAATTTTTTTCCAGGTGTCTGGCTCATGGGTCTTGCCCACAAGCTCTGGGTCTAATTTGGGGTCAGGAAGGGATATTCCCCTGGTCAGATTGGCAGAGAACCTGGGGATTTTATTTGCCTTCCTCTGCACTGTGGGTCATGGGTCATTTCCTGGTTTGAACTAAAATAAATGGTAGATTTTAAATCAAATTTGGAAATTTAAATCCAGATTTGAGGACTTCAGTAACTCAGCCAGAGGTTATGGGCCCACTAAAGGAGTGGGTGGATGAGGTTCTGAGGCTTGCAAGTTGAAGGTGGTCAGACTAGATAATCATGATAGTTCCTTCTGGCTTTAAAGTTTAGCAATCCCATACTCACATTGACTTCCATGGGGCAACTCTCCAAGTAAAGCACTACTCACTTTAACTAAAGGTGATAGAATATCACACTAATTGAGCTGCTCAGTGAAACAGAAGCTATCAATACTGGAGCACCTGTCCATGCGAAGTAGTTTATTTTAGGATAATATAGATTGAAAACTTAATTTTACGATACAGGAATTACACAGAGAAAAAGATAACGCATGGGTTGATAGCAAATTTTAGCCTATATTTCTACAATAAACCACAGTAGAACCTCAGAGTTACGATCACCAGAGTTACGAACTGACCAGTGAACCACACATCTCATTTGTAACCGGAAGTACACAATCAGGCAGCAGCAAAGACCAAAACCCCCCCCAAAAACAAAAAACCATGCAAATATAGTACAGTACTGTGTTAAACATAAACTACAAAAATAGATAAATAAAGAGGAAGCAGCATAGTAAAGTTTCAAAGCTCTATTAAGTCAATGTTCAGTTGTAAAACTTTTGAAAGAACTGTAACATTTTGTTCAGAGTTACGAACGTTTCAGAGTTACGAACAACCTCCATTCCCAAGGTATTCTACTGTATACAGGGAAGTTATGCCTCTAGCCATTGTTAACGCACAGCTATTATCATATGGGACTGGGATTGTAATTGTTCTTTAACAAATACAGGATGATATCTTGAAGGTGAAAAATTGTGTTCTCTTGGCTTCAAGTTAGTTATTTTTCTATTATAAAAAAGGAAGAAAGTGTTGCCACGGCTTATAGCAACACCACACAAGAAAGAGCTTGCACAGTAGCAGAGGGATGATAGTTGCAACAGTGGTTAACTTTTGCAGTGCTTTAACTTGCAGCTCTGCCAATCTCTCAAGAAAGATTTCAAGCGCTGAATGTGCTGGTATTGAGGTGGAGATGCAGGTACAAGAATGGGTAGTGTATACCTCCTGGTGAAAGGGACTTATGGACAACACAAATGGGAGCCAGGTTATATACATAAAAAGGAGTACTTACCGGTCAAGGATGTTTCTTCCATGACACCAGATTCCTCTGCAGCAGAAGCTGAAAAGTCAGTGTGACTAGAGGAAGGAGGGGAGTGAAAAAAGGAATATTAGGCCCTATTAGCACCTATATAAATAACTTCTTGTGTTTAGAATACTCTGAATCAGAGAGGAAGGAGGTGGTTTGTAAAATACTGAAGACAAGATGCATTCTTATTTTTAAGTCTGAAGTGTTTTTTGAGGGTGGTGTAAGAAATTAAGAAACTAATCTACTACAGGAGCACACATCAATGGCATTAAACACTGTAAATGACTAAAGAGGTTGGATCATTTTACTATCAATATTTGTATATTTATATTGCACACATGCAGACTTGACTTTTTGATATAACTAGAAAAATGGAAGTTGAAACTGTGTTATACATTTAGATTTTAGTAAAATATTTAATATAATTTTAATTGTGAAAATAATTCAGATTGGTTTTGGACGAAAAACTGGCTGAGGCCATAAACAAAATCATGTCAATGTATTGAGTTGGGGGGCAGTATCTAATGCAATCCTGCAGGGATTGTTGGTATTTACAATCTTGTTTAATATTTTCATAAATAATCAGGGAAAGGATGCAAACTGTCAATACATTTGCTAATGATATTAAATTGCAAAGAGTTGAAAATACTAGGGGGGATAGAGGAAAAAATGCAATGATTACTAGCGAGCGAGCAGGAAGATAGGCAGAAAACAACTAAATGAGACTTAGCTTGGAAAAAAGGCAAACTAATACCTGAGGAATTAAAATCCAGATATTCAAGAGAGGAAGAAACCTGCAAATCAATAATTCTGATAGGAACTAGGGTTTATAGAGGTCAGCTCATTAGAGTTTAGATTGCAACACAACGTGGCAGTTAAAAAGGCCAATGTAATTTTGGGCTGCATATGCAAAGTCATTTTATAAAGGAAATGGCTAATAGTTTCAGCCACAGTAAGAGGCTGGATACTAGATCTAATGGGGATAATCATATGATCCAATGTGGCAAATCACATATTCCTACTTGTCTTGGGTTCTGTGTTTCGGGTTTTTTTTTTTTTAAAGAAAGCTTTTCAAGTTTCCAAGCCTAATGCAAACTTTACCTAAAGTTACTTGCTATAAACCAAATTCTAGACCAGGGTGGGCAAACTTTTTGGCCTGAGGGTCACAGCTGGGTAAGGAAATTGTATGGTGGGCCTTGAATGCTCATGAAATTGGGGGTTGGGGTGCAGGAAGGGGTGAGGGCTCTGGCTGGGGGTGTGGGCACTGGGATGGGGCCAGAAATGAGAAGTTCAGGGTGCGGGCCGGGACTCCGGGCTGGGGCAGAGGTATGGGTGGGGACGTGAGAGCTCCAGCTGGGGGTGCAGGCTCTGGGGTGCAGGAGGAGGCTGCAGGCTGGGACTGAGGAGTTCGGAGGGTGGGATGGGGATCAGGGCTGGGGCACGAGAAGGGGTCGGGGTGCAGGCTCCGGGCGGCGCTTACCTCAAGCAGCTCTCGGAATCAGTGGCATGTCCCCGCTCTGGTTCCTATGCGGAGGTGCACCCAGGTGGCGCTGTGTACTGCCCCGTCCACAGGCACCGCACCTGCAGCTCCTATTGGCCGCGGTTGCCAGCCAATGGGAGCTACAGGAGCTGCGTGGACGGGGTCAGGGGCTTGCCCCGCCTCAGCAGTAGGAGCTTGAGGGCCTGATTAAAATGTCTGAAGGACTGGATGCAGCCCCCAGGCCGTAGTTTGCCCACCCCTGTTCTGGACCCTATGTAATCCACAGGCTTCAAGGATTGCTGAGGGTGGTCAGTGCAGAACTGGGCTCTTTCATCATGAACCAGTTCTGTAGCTCCCCTCAAATATACCACACATTAGAGCTTGGAAGATTTTTTCAAAATGTTGCAAGCCCCGAAAAGAGAACTTTTTCAAACACTCAAATTAATGGAGCACTTAACTGAAATCAGTATATAAAGGAAAGAAAGACACTTTGTGAAAAGCAATGGGAAATATAACCCAGTCATTGTTAGACTAGTTATAAGATGACCAGTGGAGAATCTGAAGCTGGGAAAAGAAAGGAAGAGGGCAAAGATTTTTTTGTTTTTTATATATATATATACACACACCCCTCTTCCATATATTCAACACATTACATTATGGCTTCAAATTAGGATCAGGAGGGTGGGGATCTGGAACAGGAGGAAATTTTTTTTCTTCTTTTAAAACTGTCTACTTAAATTATGCTTGTTTCCTCTTTCATACTGTTTTCAAAGTATAACAAAATCAGAATGAGAATATTTTAAAGTGAGATATTCATCCTGTCATGATGAATTAAAGGCAGCTCTCTGCTTGTGTTCTGCTTTAGAATAACGGCATCAAGACTTCTCATTATTATGGTCTTGAGAATAGATCCTCATGTGGTGTAAATTGGCATAGCTCCACTGAAATCATTGAATGGTTGCTGAGGCCAAGGTCTGGACAGTGGTTTTCAACCATTTTTCATTTGCAGACCCCTAAAAATTTTGAATGGAGGTAGGGACCCCTTTGGAAATCTGAGACATAGTCTGAGGACCTAAGGGTCTGATAACAGGTTCTATGATAACTTTTCATGGACCCCTTAGACATAATCTGCAGACTTCCAGGGGTCCACAGGTTGAAAACCACTGATCTAGGACATTAAAGTCAATGGAGCTGCGCTGATTTATACTTACTAAAGGCTGGGCCTGTGTTTTTGTATGTCTGATGACTAATTTGGTCTTACAGGCTTCGTTTTGTCCTTTCCTTAATATAAATTAAATTGTAACCAAAAGACATGGTGCCTAAATCCACCATGAAATACAATCTGCTCACAAGTTTGTCTGGGTTGTTCTCCTTAAGAATGCCCCGGACTAAGGCTACATCAGCCCATCAGTTCTTGCAGCAGGTTCCATAAGGGAACAGCTAACTATTTATTGTCTCAGTGTTCTGGCCCAACTAGCAACCCAGCACACAATCTGCGTTTTTTGGAAATTCTCTACCATTGTCTCAAAGGCATGTGCAAGGGCTTAACATTGCCATTTGGGACTTAAATTTGAAAATGCCTTTCAAAATAATTTCAAGTGAGACTTGGTAAATTCCTAAGCAGAGAAGATCCTTTTCTCCAGAATTTGAATCTTTGGGGAGAGACTTGCTGTAAATCTCAACATGTCACTGATTTTCTGCAGAATTAAAGCTTCTGTTTGGATTCTGCTGTCTGCTACCCACAACACACCTGAAAAGTAGATTGTAATTTTGTAGCCTAAGAGCAGTTCTATAAATACATTCTGGTGTTCCTTTTTTTGCAGGGAGAAATGTGACAGGAAGAGTTATGTGAATATGTGCTCTGTTCCTGTGAATAAGTTCTTGCTGAGAAAATGGCACCAAAACAATTTTTTTTGTAGCTTGCCGATGTGTCCTCTGAAGTCATTTAATCAACGGACTTTTTATTAAAAATTAACTTGCGGTTAGAAACCTTATGTGCCACACAGTCAAGCTGAAAAGAAAAGGTAGACAGATCAGCCACTGATTTTCTAGATAAACAGCCTGGTGAGGCAGAGCACAACATAAATTTCTATTCTTGCTAATCCAAACTAAGCAGGCCATCATGAGTTTATACAACAAATAGAGCATAATGATAAGCCTGGTCAACCATTTTACTGATACTGGTGTTTTACCTACCACTGAAGTTGACCAATTTCTGGATATCATTGTAAACTAAAACAAGCCTTCCACAGCCTGAGAGACAAGGGACAGACTGCATAGCTCCATTTAGTTCAATGTATCTATGCTGATTTACACCAGCTGAGAACCTAGATAAATATGTTTATGAACTAAAATTTGGAGTGCTTTCAAAAATTAATAGCAGCTATTGGTAATAGTAATATATTATTGCATAATGGAAGTAGACCCCTTGACAAGGAAATGCAATTTTACAATCTCCTACTCATATATTCTTAACTGTATATGTATTTGAGCAAATTAAGTGAACATTTTAACAATGATGTATGAAATGCATGGAATGGCGGTATGTGAAGGAGGAATACCTCACAAAATTGAACTGGGAACATTCATTTTCAAACTTCCAGAGTTTTGGGAGAGGACTACGATATTGTTGTTTTGTTATTTTAGGTAGAGAATTATAATACTTAATTCATTTTCTGGCTGTTAGATTCCATAGATGCACATTCAGCCTTGGCTTCTTTTTAATAATGTTTTTTGTTTATTAATTGAGTCAGGGGCCGTTTGCAAATTGTGGCTAACACTTTTGAAATGCTTTCTCCACAGAATTCTGGATCCAGATCTTAGTTCTGTCCCATCTTTAGTAGAAATATTCTCCTATATGAAGCATTCTGGAATTTCCCTCCTTAATGCGATCATTAAGTTTTGCACAGTAAAGCAACTCATGCTATAAAAAGAAAGTAATGGAGGGCTATGTTTTATGCATTTTGACTGTGCATATCCACATTTTTTATAAACATGAATATGATAACCACTAAGCAAATGTCTTTCACTTCTGTGGCTATTTGTGGGTCTTTTGTTTTCTATTTGAGGTTTCAAGATTTTCACGTGAAAAGTAGTTTGCCTCCTAACTGACCTCCCAGATTACAATAAATTAGACATAACAATATCAATATGTTAAAAAGAACAGTAATAGTTTTATCTTACTATTGTTTTTCATTTCAGGCATGCTATTACAAACATTATCTGATTATGAAATGGATCAGGGTTTTTTTTTTAATCCCCTTTTTTTTTTTTAAAAAATTACTTCCCAAGAGAACTTCAAACCAGAAAGGAATCTTAAGTAGATAGCACTATGAATCCTAATGGAAGTAAGGGACATATACTGACACGGGGCTCAGTTTTGACCAACCTGTGAGAGTGTGTTTGCATGATAAATGCTTTCTATATGTACAGATACCTGTCTCACTTCACAAATTGGATGCATGCGCAAATTCTAGGTGAAATTCACACTTCTAAAGAAAGACTGCACAAGGCCTATCCTCCATTTAAATAACACATAAGCCCATACTGAGTATCAACGACAATCCATTCTCGATGGGGACACCATCTA